TAGTGAACTAGATATTTTTGAGAGCGATGAATCAGACAGGTTGACAAGCATATGACTGGGACTTTATTTTGTTTACAATTTATAACACTGAACCCTCGCTCACACGGCTTGAAGGCTTTCTAGCTTCAAGACGTATTTTAGTTATTATTTTTAACGACGCTGTAGTGAATTTGCACTTCGATTTTTTTGTATTCAATGAACCTAAAAGATTAATGAGCAAACTTCTTGCTATCAACAACAATCTATGATTTACGGCACAAAATTGCCCAGGCACGGCCCGGGCCGGCCCGGGCCGGCGCGGCCCGAGAACTTTTTTGTTCAAACCCGAGCCCGGCCCGGGCCCGAGAAAATACGTTCTACCCGGCCCGAGCCCGGCCCACGGGCCGGGCCGGGCTCGGGCTTTCGGGCTGGCCCGGGCCCGTGCAGTGCTCTATCGTGGAGTGCCTGCCGAAACGAACTCGCTTTACGCCGCGAGTGGGCACGCGTGGACACGAGTGCCATGAAACGAACTCGCTATTATATCCATCCAGACTGCAGGCACTGTCCGAGGCGTGTTTCTTCTTTGTATGACGGTCATGTTTCGGTCGTACAAAAACCGTGTTTAGACATGTTCAAAGCATTAATGCAAAATGAAGAAGCATACATATCCTCCCTCATTAGCTATTCATGGTACCGTCACCTGCTCTGCACTAACAAACATGGCTTTAAAAAAATTTTTTTTTTTTTTAAATTTGTTATTAATCTGCACGACAATATACGTGCTTCTAAAACTGTTGATGCCATTTTCCTTGATTTGGCCAAAGACCTTTGACACCGTACCCCACCAACGTCTGCTCTCTAAGCAAACTTAACTCGACATTCAACCTGTTATCGTACAGCGGATTGCCAACTTTCTCATTGACCGTAAGCAAGCTACGTATGTTGGGGAGAGAAACTGCTCATATTACCAATGAAATCGGGGCTTCCACAGGACAGCGTCCTAGGACCACTTTTATTTCTAATATACATAAACGACCTCCCACCCAATTCATCATCTTAAATAAGACCCTTCGCGGATGACAGTGTTGCTCATCGTCGCATCAATAACACGGACGATCAAGCCCTGTTACAACAGGATTTGAACATAATTTCACCTTAGTGGAACACCTGGAAACTAAACAATTACGAATAAAACTAAATCTGTAGAGGGAGTTTTCACTGACGTAATTTTGTCCGCCATCTTGTTGTTTTGAGCTGTTTAGCGTGTGCAGAAGGCAAGCATTCAACGATTTACATGACCCCTTACATGAGTAGAGCACAGAAGATTACAAGTCTTACCACGCCGACATCTCCTCAACAGGTTGCGACGTTAGCCTTAATATTAGTAAATTTGTTTGAAAAAATAAACGAACAACAAAATGGCGGATTGACGTCATATGAAAACAACCTGCTCCATCGCTAAGGAAATATACGCTCAACCACGCAGACGTAGAGAAAGTTAAAACTTCAAGTACCTAGGGATCACTTCCAGAGGACCTCATTCGGAACGATCACATCAATAGTGTAGGGTACTAGGATACATTAAACGTAATCTTTTTCGCTCATCGAAGGCTGTAAAACTAACCGCATATCAAACATTTGTCAGGTCAAAGCTCGAACACGCTAACATCGTCTGGTGTCCTTATCAAGCGTATCCTATCAACAAAGCTCGAATCGGTACAAAACAAAGCATCACGTTACATCACTCATGATTACTTACGGCATTTACTATTCATCACCTGAGTTTCGCAGGCCACGATCTCCAGCACCCATCTTACACCATCTCCTTATTTAAACTTCAGCCTCCCTTCCCCAAAACTTACAAATGTCAAAACTCTCGACTTTCTCTTGCCATTGCCGACAGTGAAATGTGTGAATTATTTTTGTGAAGTGCGATTGATGTTGATGTAGGAAGCAGACGATATAGTGCTGCAGGTCTGGCAGACGACAGACGGACCTGGATGCGTTAACGGCCGAGTTCGCCATTTTCGCTCTCCGATTCCGAAACAAACGCCGCTCGATTGGACACGGCGCCAGCTCATCCCGAACACGCCCTCGTGGCAAAAGCGTGACGTTCCGGAAAAGAAAGGATCCGCTATCGCCTCGCGGCAACCAAAAAAGGAATAAACACAAAAGGCCGGCACCATTAAAGCAGAAACCCGGTCGAACCAGCTCGCCGCGCATCCTTCCTGCTTTCCGGTTTCCTAATCCATTCCTCGGTTAACGCCAAAACGGATTAGCAAATCACGTCCGGTGGTGCCAGCGAGGGCAAACGTAGCAAAACGTGCCAAAGCAAAGGAAAAAGTTATACCAAAAGAAAAAAAAAAAAAAAAAGAGCAAAAAGGTACAAAGGACAACGTATTATCATCGATACGTGTGTCTACAAGTTCTTCGCTGCACGGTTCTCCCATGGCTCTCTCAAGGTCTGCGTGCGTACGACAAGGCCGATGCCTGATGATGACGGTTACAAAGATGGCGGCCAAACTCGATATCACGGTAACTTGGCTACGCCAGCAGCTGGCTGTGTTTTGCTATCCAGGAAATGCCGAACGATCGTCACATGTGCTACTGGACGTAACTTAAAAGTGAACTTAAAATATGACTCCGAAGAGATTTATACAACGTTTCGAAGTATCGCTATCAGAATACCGGTACCGTTACGGTAACGATCTGGCTGCATTTGTCGTCTGCTGCGTCTGGGTGCGAAGCAGACGACGATGGAGAGACACGGGTTTTATGTGCGTGATACGATTATCATCTGAATGGATACGACAGTCTTCATAATTGCGAGCTGGATGATAATATAAAAAACAATAAAGATAAAAAAAAAAAATGACGCGACGATAGCATCACAGACGACACAAAAGCGTAGTGACGACCCACGGGGAACAATGCGGAGACGGCAGTATCAAAATAAGATCTCGAGGGCGCCGTCTGCTTGCGAAAGGTCAAGTAGAAGAGGGTGAAATAAATAACAATAAAATGTACATCCATTACCGGGTACAGGGAGCGAAAGGGTACAAGACGCTCCGTTGACGGAGGCTCCAGCACGTGATCGCTCGACAGACAGCGCGGCGCCGTGCTTCGCGCACGTCACACCACATGCGGGTTTATCGTTAGCCATCGGGCCTTGGAGAGCAAAAAGCACAAACCACCGCAGCAGTGGTTAAGCTCAGACCCTCAGCGCAGATAACCCACCTACCTGACTGGAGACGATCTCAAACCGCTGTCCTCCGATAAGCACGGCTCTTCGACGCAACGGTGACTTTCACCGTCTCCATCATTCCCGTTTGTCAAAGCGAAAAATCAAGCACACGACGACGACAGACAGCACGAAAAGGTGTTGCTATGCGACAAGCGTACTCTAAGGCTTTTGATCCAAACAAATAAAAATATGCCTAAAGGCGCCCGAGGCAACTTTTTGCCACCCGTTCCGTTCCGTTCCTCTTTTTGTTCTCTTTTTTGCTGTCCTTTCATCTTCCGAAACCGAACGGAGCTTCGGCGGAAAGCACTCCCGCTTTTGTCGTCGTGGTTTTCGCTCGCGGTTTGAGGACAACTCGGTTCCCGGGTCTGCCAATACGCGATCACATCTGCCGCGTGCTGCGTACTCGACAAACAACTCGCACGGGGGGTAGAGTAGTGTCGGATTAGGCCTGAAATCGCCTTTTGCTCGTTGTGCAAAAAAATGCAAACAGCGGCTTACCTAAGCCAGCGCCGCGGTGTCTGCGCTGCCCGTCGTCGATGTTACTTGGGCCCCAGTCCACAGTGTTCCCGCCACGCTGCGTAATCCTCATGCACCGCCGAGACGCTCATGTTCGGCTCACATCTGTGGCCGTAAGTATTTTTCGTGCACCAAGTCCACCGCGGCACACGGCAAGGCCCGCAGCCTTCGCGAAAAGCGAAGCAAGGCAGCGGCAAGGCTGCTGCTTTCGTCGTGTGTGCGGCGCACTGCCGCTGACGTCAGCGGAACCCGTGGCGCCATCTTTCGATCGCGACTCCAACTATGGTCAATGTGAGAAAGTCAGCTGATTGATTTTGACTTTTTCGTTTCGTTCTCGATTTCGTAATTTTACTGAAACGGGATCTACAACGCCGTCCTTCTTTACGGTAGCACAGCGTATTTTACTTAAAAAGATGTCTTATATTGGGTTCTGATAAAACGTTATTTTTAAACCTTACCCACAAGGGGGAAAAAAATAACAAAAAGCTAAGAGGAATTGTCTTGTGCTGCCATCTTACATTTGTCAGTGACACTTGCCCACTTGCTTCCGCTTCAAAAGAAACGACCACAGTGGAAACGACGCTTGCGGAAGTTCGGCTTTCCTGCAGTTCTTTCCGTGTAACTGCAAAAAACGCGCTCCTCGTATTCGACCTAGTCAGGTATACAAACATTTATTCTGTCGTGTTTTACCAATTGCTAACGTTTGACGACGCGTAGGTTTTCCCCAAAAACGTTTGAAAGAAGTAGAAACCCTAAAATCGGAGCGAACCACTTGTTTTTGTGTAAAAGGGCTATCTCTCCGGAGATTTCGTGCTTTTCGTGAGTATCATTTAAACCTTGAAAAAACGGTATCGCGTACAAAAATACCAAGCTTCGAAACTTGCCCGACCAGTGACAGACGCCACACCCCATACAGAAAATGGAATTTCGAAAGCCACAGCATGCTGTCGGCAAAACAAGCTCCAGAACTCATATGCAAATCTCATTACGTGCACCTCGTTCGGCGCTACCGTAAAAGTTATGCCTCGCCGTATCGAACGGATTGTGTTGTACGCATCTTAAACCACGGGAATCGGTGTTCAGCTTCACGGCGAGGGTGTTTTTCAACGCTTACAATACGCGGTAGCTCAGATCAGATATGCTTTCTTGTTCCTTGCCTTACGACCGATTTTCCCGTGACACCATTCCTTCACAAGTAAACAGACAAAATGTAAGCGTAAAACAAAAGTTCGCCTTCTCTTTCAGCCAAGGTTGACAGTGACCGTCATCCTTGGATAGGCGGTGCCCACTGCTGCGCGAGGCGAGGCCACATACCCCGGGCGTGCAGCTCTCAACTCAAAATCATGGACACACAAGCCCTCAAAGGACTGCCGCCGCTGCCAAAGTCGCTCAGCGGCCTGCTCAACTTCAACAGTACACAGTGGCGGGAGCTGGAACGCCTGCACAACATGCGAACCATGATTCAGCAGGATCTGTGCCAGTCGTCCAGCGTGGCGGCGGGAGCGGCACGACCGCGTAGTTCCCGGACGTACCACCAGGCGGCGGGAGCGTCGTCGTCACGTGGTCAGGACCGGGGCACTTCGGACTCACTGCAAGGTGGCCGTGGTAGTCGTGGCGTACAGCAGGAAAATGAGGACATGTGGGCTGGGCGTTCTACGACAACGCGGCTGGATGCTCAGCTGGCGCTCTTGCGCAAGGAAATGGTACCTTCAATGATATATCTTCACGGAAATTGTGGTAGCCGTTAGAGATACAAGCTTTTTTCAAAACTAAGGTTTGACTGGTTCGCAGAACCTTCAAGCTTTTGGCGAAATTTGATAAAGTTCTACTTTTAAACAGTATAGTAGGGAGTTTTAGTAGACCGTGTTTCCCCTTCCGCTAAGCCCTCCGCAACGAAGAGACCGCCACTGCGCCTGCGTGCCGATGGCCTTGGCTGTAGAGTTTCGGGTAGCGGAGGGGCTTGTTATGTATGTTGACTAACAGCCAGCGCTCCCTGGCTCCTGTGCTCTCGTTGCAACCGGTCGAGGATGAAGTGATGTGGCGTGGACTCTCGAACATTCCATCGACGACTGACCAGAAGCACAGTGATGTGATTGCTGCGCCAATTGCACCAAACTGCGCCAAGGGGCTAACCCTGCTACATCCTGCTACATTTCGCCAAAATATGGGTAATCTGCACCAAGCCTGCGCCAAAGGACCAATTTAGGTCGCCTTTCAGAAGCAAAACTAAACTGAGTACTGTAATTGAGCAGGCGTGTGTTATGTGGCGCAAGCTGCCACCTGACACAAAGTACCGTGCATCAATTGTCCACCCGGTCTTGCATGGTTTTCCCGGCGCCTCGCGTTTCGCGCTCTCGTCTTATGGGTCTCGTCTCTCGTCTCTTTTTTTATATCTTCAGCGATAGACACGGATGTGTGCAAACGCTCCGACGCTAGTGTGCCAGGTGCCAGCTATGCCGTCATGCTGTGAAACGAAACCACGTTTTTGAGCGACAGGAATTACTTTGTGAGCTGAAGCAATGGCCGTGGGAAAACTATACTTGGTCACTGCCTTTCAGTCACCGTGGTCGCGCGACGTCGAATTTTGCCGTCCCCACATTACTGTAGATATGGTACTTCTTATAATGAAACTAAGTACTGCCGCATGTTCATCAACATTCCTGTTCTTGTTTGAATCCTACGTTACTAAAAAATCCATCTTTAATTTAAAGGCTGCTCTGCCAAAGTATTGATTATCTAGAATCCTCTCGGTGGGCCTTCTTTCGAGAGGGACCTCGGTACGTGAAAAATCTGCCGTGAAAGAAGGTTGGTGAAGAGAAGTGAGCTAAAGCAAAGAAGGCAATGTCTGCACGCTGAACCCACACAGCGTGCTTGTTTGTCTCGAGTTCAGTCGTTGCACAAAACGCTCCAAGAACGTTTTGACCCTGACTCGCGATGACCTGCATCGATGCACTCAGGCTATTTATTTTTTATGTGTTTAGCTTGTGCCTTGTTTGCCGGCCTGGCAAGCACGCGCCACTGGACTGTTTTTGTCGCATGCTCGAAAATTATTTGTGTACAATTTTGGGGATAAGTTAGTGACGGAGCTGAGGAGCCTGGTTTCGGTTTCGATCGGACAGCCGTTGTCTGCGCTGGCGCGACGAAGCGTGTCCAACAGCAAGCCTGCCGAAGTTGGCCTCACGTGCATGCAAACATGATTGCGTGACTAAGGCAACAGCTGGAACGCTTGCAATTCATTGTTTTACGTTTGCTTACTTTTGACGAAAATCTGGCACGTAGGGGAACCAGTAAAACGGTGGTAAGCGGTTTTTCGAAATTGCTTGGCAATGCTTACAGCACTGTACACTTGTGGGATGTCTGAGCAGTAAAAACAGAAGCAGCAAGTTCCGTCACAACAAGTCATATCATAACACAACACAACACAAAGTGCCCTTTGTTTGTACAGCACTTAAAACAAATATTTTTATTTTCCTAAGAATATCTGCTCCAAAATCCACTTTTGCTGCTCCGAAACACTGTCTTGGCTGCTCCAAAAGCCGCTTTTGCTGCTCCAAAACACTGTTTTGGTTGCTCCTAAGGCCGCATTTGCTGCTCCAAAACACTGTTTTGGTTGCTCCGAAACGTGTGCCAAATTGGCTTATGCCAATTATATCACTGGAAGCAGCATCTCATTTCTATGTTCTAGACTATGCTCTAAATAAACATAGTCTGGTACATAATAGTCTGGTACATAATAGTCTGGTACATAACATGTTATGCACCAGACTATGTTTATTTAGAGCATAGTCTAGAACATAGAAATGAGATGCTGGTTCTGGTCAGTCGTCGATGGAATGTTCGAGAGCGCGCGTCACATCACTTCATCCTCAGCCGATTGCCATGAGAGCACAGGAGCCAGGGAGCGCTGGCCGTTAGTCAACATACATAACAGGGCTTAGCGAAGGTGGAAATACGGGTCTACTAAAACTCCCTAATACCCTTTCTACAGGAAATCCCCCCCCTTTCCAAAAAAAATTAGTTTTTTTTTTATTGCGAAAATAAACTATGCAGCTCAATCTTCATCCAGATGTAGCGCTAGCTGTCGCAACCAGATGTCAGAGTTTTGGAATAGACCGTTATCTTATTCAAACGTTCGAAGCTATTTTCGGTTGGAAAATGGTTTGTTGGCGGGGCCCACATATACAAGGAGATAAATGGCATCAACTAACAAGAATGGACCCGATTTGTTCATCTAAAGTGTCAGAAAATTACACTTGGTGTTGCCCGCAAAAGGAGGACTGCGAAGGGGCCCTGTAAATGCTATGCATTTAGAATGCTTTGAAAAGACGACAAAGAGACAGCCTAAATTTTTTTTTCTCCCGAGTCTCCTGTGTTTTACAGTCTCTTGAGGTAACCCCGAAATAGAAGAGTGGAGTACACGCGAGATTTGCACATGCGGGGGGAAGTTTGCAAGAAGTTTGCCGACAGCAAAAACCAAACCTCGGATAAAAATTTTGGAAACTTGTCTGCAGATGCCATTCACATGTATATGCCTATTGAGGATAGGCAAGCCTATTGGTTTCAGGGGTGGTCGGTCGCAGGTATTTCTTGAGGGGAGGGGGGTCAGCTGTTGGTCAGCGTATCATATGCTTAAGAACCCCTCCCCCCTTTCCCGTTTCCACATTCTCAATTTTTACACATGCAGAATTCAAGAGGGGGGTCAGGATATACGGACCCTCTCTCTGAATCCGCCCCTGATTGGCTTGCCTATTGAGGGTCGCATCCGGACACTAAACTTACTTTCAACGCAGGGCTCTCACCCACCCCTTGTAGAAAAAAGTAGTCATTATTTGTTTATACAGCACGAGCTTAGTTTGTGACATTGTTACCCATTGTAAATAAGAAATTTAGCCAGTACAGTATGACTGCTAGCCTGGGATCTTTAATGTGCATCATGCAGTAGTGATACACGACTGCACGCAGGTACGATCGAAACAAGCAGGGGTGGGGATCGAACCCAAGATCCCTGGGCTCTGCAGCGCCAGCTTTCGCTCCGCATGCCCCAAGCTAGTGTTCTCTAACCCACTTGGCTCTGATCCCCCTTTCCCTCGCGGATTATTGGTGGTTTTGGTGTTGCTCAGTGTGTGACGAGAGGACTAGGAACAAGAAGGTCGTAAAAAGCTGTAGTGTGAGGAGACAGCATCAAACCTTACCTCTACTATCGCAGACAATAGAGACTTTTTGTAGATCGTAAGCACCAGATTGTGGGCGCGTGTTCAATCCGTGTTCAATCCGTGCAGAGCTCTCATGAACGATCTGCAAAAAGTCCCCAGTGTAAGCTGCAATGGTTCTTTGTCCTTCTTTGGCATACCTGTTGGTTCCTAAAATAGCTTTTGTCCAAACTGTGTGAGGGAACACGTAGCTCAAGTCCCATTCTTTCGACTCTATGGCAAGTCGCGAGGTAATGGAATGTTGTGGGGATTGCAGACAGAGAAAAAGGCAATATCGGATGATGCTGCTCGTAGTGTCCGGGGGGGAGGGGGGGGTTAGGTAGGTAGGCACGTGAATTCCTTACAGTTTTATGATACAAAGGAATTTTGTAGAATAACTGGTTCGAGAAAGATAAAGATAACTCGCAGATGCTGTGACACCCCTTGCAATCTTCGTCTGCTGCAGGTTGGTCTTCGCCAGCTGGACATGTCCCTCCTCTGCCAGCTTTGGTCCCTCAACGAGTCCATCCAGGAGTACAAGCAGGTCCTCCAAGACAGGTCCCCCACGGCCTGGGACGCGACACCGGACGACCTGCTGGGACAACTTAACGGCCGTGCTGCTGGCACGCCACTGACGGCCGAGCACTTCGATCTCGACGCCGCCACTGCCATCCTGTCCAGGCACCACCACACTCCTACGGTACGCACTCTGGCAACTCTGGTGCACACCTTTCCAACACTTACCGCCCAGGCGAAAAATGCCAAGTCACTCGGCTGTGGACGCACGTGCGACGTCTGGCGTTTTGCAGGAGAGAGTTACTGCCAACGAGGTAGAGGGGTTTAGAGTGATAAACTGGTATCCTGTTCATCACACAAAAGTGACCCCCACTTGGCTGCTGCCATGTTGTACAGTTTTGAGCGCTTGACACGTGACCATACCAAATCCTGAGACTTTTACGTAAAACTGAGCCGAGATTTGTATTGTGATCGGTGTAAAAACCATGATAAACTATTTTTTCAACACTGTTAGCCCCAGGCGTGAGTGTCTAGCTCCGATAAAAACCCAAAGTACAGCACCGCGGCTGATGGCATCTGGCGGAGACATTGCGAAGCTGCCCGAGTTTTTGTCGTGAAAGCACATTTTGGACTTTAAACAAACGAAACATAATCTCGTCGGTAGTGTTATTAAAGATCAATAAGCAATTATTTGTGCTCGGTACTTTGTTAAAATTTAGACGTAAAACTATAAGGTCACGTGTCTAGTGGTCAAAAATATGCAACATGTGTGTCAGCCAATTGGGGGTCACTTTCAGCTGCCAGTTTATCGTTTTAAGGCCCTGTACCTCGTTGGTTACTGCGCGTTCTATGAACGGGTTCTACAGCCCAGTAAACAAAGTGGGCAGCGCACAGAGGGCAATCATTGGAATGGTCTATGGCTTGGCCATGATGGGGCTTTGTGTTTGGCCTCATTACGGGCGAGCACTGATTGACTCCACAGAAAACTTTTTTTGTGCTGCACAGACTCTGGTTCTTCGGCAGTGATGGGCTCAGTGATTGGTCTCGTTGTGTCAGATCTCTGGCTTTGCAGAGTAGCAGACGATTGGTCACAATAATATTTACATTTATGCGGATACTCCACATCGCAGCTCAATAAACAAAGGTGGCAGTGTGCAGAAGGCAATTATTGGAATAGTTGATAATCTTGCCGGTTATCATACTACGTGATTGGCCTCGTTGTGGCCAATCACTACCGACTTGTCGGAGAACCTTTCCTTGTCGCACTGTCTCAGATTCTTTGGCAGTGATGTGACAGGTGATTGGTTTGGTCGTGTCCAATCGCTGGCTTGGCTGAATGGCAGCTGGTTGGCCACAGAGGTATTTACATATACATATATACCTATCTCGAAGACAAAAATGGCAGCGCACGGCATAGCGCAGCCTCATAGACGAAGATGGCAACACGCAGAAATTGAACATTAGAACTGGTCAATGAGCCATTTCGGTACAGTGTCGATTGTAACCACAGCCCAGTCACACCGCCATGATATCTTCGAGGGGATATCACGAGCATGCACATAACAGAATGTACAGTGGAATTTCGTTAATTCAAACTTTCTTAATTCAGACTAACATGCAGATCCCGTCCTACATGTTTCCAGGAAGGAAATTCCCGGTAATTCAAACCTTGCATTATTCAAACAAAGTTCTGGTCCCCCTCGGGTTCAAATTAACGAGATACCACCTACCAATGACCACAGGATAGCTAACAGGGAGCACCATAGTTGGCTGCTGATGTTCTCTCTTCCATCTTGCGATGGACCGCCGCTGACACCACGAGATATCTCGGCCGATCCAGTGTCGTTAATGCATGGCGTGACTACATGCCCCATGCATTGCCGTGCCCCTCCTGAAAATCACGTGACACTCGCACGGCATTGGATTGAGTCTGATACCTCATGGCGTCCTCCGCGGTTCATCATAAGGTGAAACGGAGTATAGTCGGCGTAGCAGGTGGCCAGGGTCGGCCTTGGGTTGTATTTGCCGCAAAACAATTGCATACGAGCGCTGTGTCACAGTTTGGCAAGACGCCTGGATGCTTAAAGGGGTAGTCCACCGATTTTTTGAGCTACATCAACTAACTATATTTTCTAACTCCCCGGCCTTTAGCCTTTCCGGTATGCTATTTAGTATCGCGAAATTCATAATAGGTATTGTGAAATCGGCAAATGAAAATGATGCAAAAACCAATATTCAAATATTCGCGCACTTTTCCGTGCTGTGACGTCAGTGGGAGGCAGGCTTGCCAGTCGAGCAAGTAGTCTAAAAATAGAATATGCCAATCATTTGTTCCGTGCTGGAGCGCGGATACAGGAGCGAGCTTCCAAAGCACTCATTTGACACCAAGAAACTGCTTCAAATCCGTTAAGAACAACTTCTGTGGTCCAAAAAGTTAACCCCTGCCTTCCACTGACGTCACTTTTTCGTTGTTGCCAGTAGAGACTTTCAGTTTGAAAAACATGGTGAAGACCAAAACTGTAAATTCAATAACTTCGCGAAAAAACAATATTTTGACCTAATATTTGGGATACTATTTTAGCAATGTTTGTTGGTTAGCTTAGCAAAATTTCTAGCAAATCGGAGACAAAGAAAAAAAACGGTGGAGTATCCCTTTAAGGCCACAATCGGGTCCAACAAATGAGAGCAGGGTATGTCTCAGAGTTGCGAGAATCTGCCATTAGGTGTCACTGTTCGTTCGTCCAATCACTTACTGCTAAGCGGTGCAAGCTGCCTCTTATTAAGATGATATGGCCATACGCATCCATCCGTTCATCCAACCGGCAAATGTGTTTGTCCATTCATCCAGGTTTATTGCATTGCCTTTGCATATATTAGCTTCGTTCAATTTACCTGCCCCTCCTGCACTGGTGCAGAAAAGCATAGAGTCTACTTCCGGTATGTATGTTGAGATACCACCTGATGTACACCACCCTATACTTTTCTTCACTGGTGCACAAGGTGCAAGTAAATCGAACGAAGCTAGTATCTACCAAAATTTTGCTATGTAAATAGATGTGCAACGGGAGGATCTTACAGATATGTAGCATAATGTTTGCAGCTTGCAGAGAGACACGCACAGCAGACATAGACCAAAGAAACTAGAAGGCAGGATACCACATAGAAATAAGTAGGTTGCTATTAAGAGTGCATTGGTTTACAGGAGTACTACCTATATACATACCGTAAAACACCGTGCATCCGCCAATTTCACACTAAGCACCCACCCCCAAAATCTGAAACATCCGAAAAAATATGCACAGTACATATACAGGGTGTTTCAGAAAACACAGGCCAAATCGCTCCTGCGAAAACTACTCATTGCAACGAAAAAAGGCTTGTGACGTTTTGGTCCTGGGCCAGAGGCCCATTTAGGAAAATTATTAAAGTCCGGGATAATTAAGTTGTTAATTATTTTTGCGTTATTAACTTTTTTAATATTGTGTTTAAGGGCATGGTTTAAATTAGAAAATTGCTCAGCATCATCGAAAAACACTAAATCAACAAATTGCAGAACGATAGAAGGCACGCGAAGCATTTTACGGCTTTTTGAAAAACCGCGCAAAATCAACGGGTTTTTAAGTTTCGGTTTGCTATCGGAGCCCATCTCAGCCCCGGCAACATCGCGCCCTGTGGAGAGATAGTGCAACCAACATCTGCTGCGCTGTCATTGCACTGTCATCGCGCGACACGCTCGTTGTAGTTGGAATAGTCGTCGGTGGAACAGGCAAATTCTCACGTCGCACAGAAACTAACGCTCACGAAAACGGGTGCCAACGTAAATTTGCGGGGATAGAGACGTGACCCGGATAGCTGAAGTGCAAAAAAATCGCAGCAAGAAGCCGGCAGTAGCGCACCGGCCCACCCGGTGCAGCTGCTTGTTGCGCTCGGTGGCACCGGTGTTGCCGGCGTCGGAGGCAGTGTTCATTCGTCAAGCACGTAAAGAGCACGTGATCACCGGCAGGAAGGAAACACGCTCCGTGATTTGCCACTCCCTCAATGCATGTACCTACGTCACAATACGGGCACCCGGAAAAGTTGAAATATTTGAACTCTCCATACATGAACCGGAACACGAAAAAACTGAGCGGTGACGATGGAACCGGAAGCGGGAATCTACACGTGTTCTGGTACACATAATTTGAAATACTTGGCGGTTTGGACCACGCTTTAGGCGTGTTCGTTTTGCCACGGTGAGTTGTTAGAGTGATCGTCAACTTTATTTATTTTTATACAATCCGCGATGCCGGTCTTTTTGTGCAAAATAAAGCTACAAAAACACTAGATACAGACCATGGAAGCAATGTTCTCCTACTTCTTTGTGTATAAAATCAAGGCGTCGCTGGCTATATGGTTCCGTCGGGAACACCGATGTTTGCGTCTTTGCCCCCCCTGTTCCGAAGCGGTTGAAATGCACGGGACCTTTTCCTTTAGATTATTATATTAACTCTACGCCTCCTAGTGGCCAGAATCTGGTTAAAAAATAAGGCGTAAATCAATACGGCACGCCCCTCACAGTTGTTGCTCGCTGTCTTTTTCTTTTGTGTCGTCTGATCCTGATCGTAACCCATAACTTTTTCCCGGCTGCGCCGACAAGACCGTGCCTCACCACCAGCGTTCTTCGAGCGGAGGATCGGGCGTCACGCCTCGCCACCCGCATCAGCACCGTCATCCGCCACGGAACCTGACGGCTGTGGCTGAAAAAGGAGCGCCCACCGACAGCTCGTCATGTTCCAGTACAGAGTACGACGACGTGCTGTAATCGGTCGGTCAGTCGCGAGCGTGCAAAGGCCACGGCGAGGTCACCGGTAGGCTGTAACATAGTATACATTAATTCTTTGCTCTTTGCCAAGGGTGCCGAAAGAGAGCGACACTAAAGGCCAATTCGCATATGCGTCGCGGCACTAAATTAAACTTAAGAACAATGCCGATGCTAGCTCTGAATGTAAGTAGCACTGATGCAGCACTGTCTCACCAATATAACATGGAGTCAGCAGTGCCTCAGTCAGCACTATTTCAAGCACTGGCTAATAGCGCCTAGGCAGTGCGTCGGCGTATGTGCAAACAGGCCTTAACTTAATTTGTCGGCTGCCCGATTTGAGGCGGGTGAATCGTCTGCTACTGACACGAGCCAACGGTTCAGGCGTCGTGTCAATATCAACAGTTTTACTATTTCGTGTCGCAAAAAGGGGGGTCCCACTTCTGTGTTCGGTGCAGTTCCTCTTGTTCCAGCACAGAGAACAACGCCACGCCGCGATTGGTCGGTCGATTGCGAGTGTGCAGAGGCCATGGCGAGCTCACCGGTAGGCTGCGACACCCGTAGTCCGTTGGAGACTAAAATAAAGCGGAACCTCCCACAAAGCCGTCCGCTCTTTCCACATTAGCAGAGCGAATGCTGGAGTGGAAGTTGAACATGATGAAAAATCACGCAGAAAGGGACAAGGACAAACAACAAAGGAACACAGGACACAGACAGGCACATACTCACAACTCTGGTATATTAAGTGAAAAAAAAAAAAATGAAGCAGGATTCGTGACAGGAGAGGAGGTGAGTGGAGAGGAGGAATCTACCAATCATGGTGAGCAGAGAGCTTTGTGGGAACGGCTTGCCCCGTGTTACTTAACTCCCAACGGACTATAGTACACTTTACTTCTTTGCCAAGGGTGCCGAGAGGGAGCGACACCGATTTGTGAACCGCCCGATTTGGGGCAGACGGGTCTTTTGCCGCCGACACGCGGCAATGATTGGGCCAGCGTGTCGATGGCTGTGCCTTTGTCACTTTATGTTGCGGTGTCGTTTGAGCCCAGCCCGGTGTCATTGCCCAATGGTTCCTGGAATGCATCCCCGATTATTACGTTTGGTGCCGTTTTCCGTGTCTTCTCAAGTTCCAACTGGCAACATCACAACTGCGATACTACTGTCGTGATTATAATGGTTATATTGCACCAAGGATTGTGATGATGCCAATCCCTGGTAGAAGATTGGAGATGTCACCGCATGATTAGTCTTTGATGAAGGACGGTTGAGGATGGGCGACACCGTCGCGCCGATTGCGACAGTGGCGCAATCCCTGTGCCGCCATCGCGGTTGGCGTGGCACACTTAGCTCGCCGAAACTGGTACTGCTTGCTTAGTATTCTTGAAATGGTGCTTTGCCGTGTGCCAGACACTTGGTGTCGCTATTTGAAACATCTTTCAGTGTTTACTTTCGTCATTCGTGTACTATCTTGGGGCGTGCCCTTTCAGGTCGGATGCTCTAAAGGCAAAAAGGAAAGCATTTCTTTCCGGTGTCTTTGCTACGGCATTATGCCAGTGAAAATTACGGTGTTTTCGGGGGTGCGCCCACTTGTAGTTTTTTTATTAGGCAAGTGGTGAAGTCAGGGAGTAGCAGCTATTTCCAAAACTCGTACCTGAGCCTTCAATTCCTGATTGGTTCGGCATCTCTCTTTGCGGCGGACACATTGCAACGTCGTTGGCCAGAGCACGACGTCTTGTGTAGCTAGAGTGGACCGTGCCGTGCCATATTCTGACCTTATGAGCATCGCCATTTTTCTAATTAATCCGTCGTCTTTCTTTGTGGTGGACATGCTGCGACGTCATTGGCCAGAGTTTTGTGTCTTGTGCAGCTATGTTTGACTGAGACGTGCCATATTCTGACCTTATAAGCGTTCCCTGGATTTTGTTTAGGAACAAGTGTCGATCGTCCTACTTTTTATGAAAAATTTGCAATAACCGGTGTAGGAGGCATACCGTAATTATAGGCTAGCACCGCATACGGTCGAAGGGAAAGCTCAGCTCAGTTTTCTATTCTTTGTTTTCAACTCAATTTAGATGGTATATTTATTGCCATCGACTTGCGTTATTCTTTTCAGTGCGTAATTGCTCAGAAGCTTCTGTAACTTTTTAATGCAAAATTTTGTGCACACTAAAGACCGGTTCACACAGTTGCGATTGCTTATTACTGAAGGGGCTTGTGACAGCTTATGATCGGCTGCACTACTGCACAGCCGGTTTTAAGCAGTCACGTGGCTTAAAAACCGATTGTGGCATAATCAGTCAGAGTCAAACACAAATGTGTGAGCCAACCTCAATGTAGGACATTTAAGCTATATGAACCTCTTAATCTGAACACCATAAAATCACTATGCTTTCCCTCTAAAAGCATGCCAACCAACAATCTGAAATTAAGTTTCATCTTTATATAGCTTCAACTTGTGAGACAATGTTCAGCAAGTGACTGCTTTTTCACAATTTGTTTTTGTGGCTTGCAGCACCAAGTTGAAAATACTACCAATACTGACCAAATATTTGTGCCATTTAATATTTGAGTTCTAAGGCATGTACTTAACAAGTACTGCAGCCTCAGCATAATACATTAGCCAACGTTTGTCATGCCACTCTCTGTTGTACCCGAGCAATGTCATAAATTTTGCAGGCATAAATTTAATGAACAAGGGTTTGTTTATCTTCCAGAGTAGATGGAATATATAGCAAGAACCATAGCAAATTGTTACTCACTAGTTATTTCAATAGTCGCTCTAAATCTATGCTTTAGGTTCAATCTTGGTGTGTTGATCCTTCCTTCAAATTAGAAAGTACAATCTTCACGATACTCCTGAGCGTGTAATGTGGCAATCTATCCAAGGTGATGACATTAGTGGCATCTTCATGACTGGAATGTATGTGCTTCTTCTGATCACATTTTTTCTGAGAAATGGTCTTACCATGATTGATATCTGTATTTATGTAATTCCTGGAGCGCTTATGCAAAAATAATAGATGCCGAACTGTCAGCCACGTTTTTGGTGCCTGTCGATCATTATCCCTTGACTCGTAAAAATAATATTTTGGGTACATTTATCCGTTTTTTTTTTTATTTTGTCTTCTTTATAATTACTGAAAAACCGGAAATCCAGGTTTCACGGGAGTTGCACTTCAGCGAAGCGATGCTGAGGGCGTGCTAGTAATATCTTTTTTGTTTTACTCACTTCCATGGGGTGTGTTGCATTTTTAGAAGTCAAAGTTAAGGCTGAACCACATGTAAGCGATTTAGCGAGCGACGAGACGAGCAACGGCAGCAGCGACGAGAGTCAATGACAAGCGACAGAGATTGCTCTCTCTCGCTCGTTGCGTCGCTCAGTTTTTGGATTTCTAGAAAATGTCGCTCATCGCCTTGGTCGCCTGCTCCCGTCGCTTTCATGCAGCTTGCCTCATTGCGCGACAGCAGAGCGGGTCGCGGTCGCTCATCTCGTCGCTCGCCAAATCGCTTACACACGGTTTATGCTTTAGGCTTCCAGTTTTAGTCAGTTCACGGTGATGAAGTTATGGATCAAAATTTCCTAGAAGTCTCGCGACGGTAGAACTGCCTCGTGGAGGAGACTGACACTGTAGTCGCAGCTAAGTGGCAGCTTACATATACCTTGTAAACGAGGTAAATGCTCGTCTGTTGGATGATTGCAAAGCAGATGCTGGCCTGGTTTTGGTGCTTGGTGGTGCTTTTAATTTATATATATTTCGTCGTTTTATAATAGCATGAGAGCCGAATGTTTCACGAGGATTGCTTTGTCTCATTTAGGAGACCATGTGCCAGGGATCCGATTTTGATCTCCGTGAGAGCGAGATCCAATTTACCTTTCATTGAGCGAGCTCAGATGTTGTTTGCAGACAGTTTGTCTGCTAATGCTAGCGTAATACAGGGTTTGTCTGCTACAAAGCGAAATGTGCAGATGGAAGTAAAACAACAAGACACCGTACGTCATCTGCCAACAAACCCTAAAAAAAGCGGATCGTCTGTTATGAACCGAGTGCTACGGCGAAGTGAGATCAGGTGCAGCCCGAAATGGTGGTTGTCTTTTATTTTGCGTCTAAAGTAACGGACAACACACGCTTCCTTTGCAAATTTCGAGTCGTTCCACTACCGTACAGAACCTGACATTCACCGGCGGATGAAGAAAGGCTCTGGACGCGCGTATTGGAGGCCGTGGGACTCTTCTCACTTTTGTGTTGGTGACAAGTCCTCGCCCAAATACTGCCTGGTCGTGGACTCGCGAGCAAAATGTCAGAAATTCTTCATTGGTCGATTAGCACGCCTAGCAGAAAGTTGCGACGCCACGTCCAATCAGCAGCTGAGAAAGCTCTCACTCTCGTCTTGACCCGAAACTGTCCTGGGACGTAACACAGCAATTATTTGTACCGCTGCTGACAACGGGAAGGGTGCTCAAAGAGTCCCTAACATTGTCGTGACTCGTCGATAGCCTCGCCTCTGCAGTACGTGGGGGCCGGTGGAAAGAGTCACTGTTGTGCTCTTTTACATGCCACGTTTGTAAAAACGTTTGGGTGCATTGTTCTTTGCTGTTCACGGGTTGTTCAGGGTTGTCTCACACCGGCCCACAAAGACGGTGATGCGTGCTTGCCAGAGCCGTGTTTACAGAGAGTTTGGTAAATGGGAGGTGCAGGCAGAGCCAGGGCTTGCACCAGACGCAGAGAGAGGGCTTGGCATGCTCTCTTGGCCAACCAGAAGCCGAAAAGAATCCCCTAGCGGTGGTAGCGAGAAACAGTTTTAATTGCTTCAATAAGTGCGTAAGAGTTAAATGTAGTAACCCTTCGTGGTTGAAAATAGGGTGCATGTGATGCTTCTAGGGTGTATAGCGACCGGGAAAACTGGGAAAACCGGGAATTGTCAGGGAAATTTTAATTACCGGGAAAAATCAGGGATATCGTCAAAAAGCGAGCCCAGTCAGGGAAAATGAGCCGGAACGCCATTGAGTGGCCTAAGCAAAGGCTTGCTCTCTCTTACACCTATCCCACCTATCCTCCCAATCCCCCCCTTCCTCAATCAGCTGTTACATGCAGGCATCCTGCCTGCAAAAACAGTCCGTTTTCTGAAATAAAGTAACTCACCTCACCTCACCGTTGCCGTGCTCCGCGTACCGCACTAACGGAGCCTTTGAAGCATGCTTTTAAGCGCGCGCCCGGGTGGTACCGTGACTGCGGGGCACACACTTAAATGCATGCTTCAAAGGTCCCTATTGATGTGTGTGGTTGAGCGTCGTGTTTTCATTGTGTTTCCGGAAGTGGCCTCTTCACTGACGATGTCGGCGGCAAGAAAGTGCTCATGTAATCCGGACTGGACCAACCCGAATATTTCCAAATATGCAAATTGGATTAAGCCCGCGCAAAATGATCCTCACAGTGCTCAATGCTCGATGCTCAATTCCTTGTGTTGTAATGGTCTTATATATTTTATCGCCTCTACTGTGATCAGGGAATTTCACCAGAAATTGTCAGAGAAAACCTGGAAAAGTCGGGGAATTTCAAAATAATAATTTGCTAGACACCTTGGCTTCGACCATGATCATGCAGAAAGATGTAAGAAATAAATGTGCCGCTCAACTCTGTTTTGCTTGGACAGAGTGTGACTGCTCGGATGGCAGATTCTCGGCCCTCGGCACCTGGCGTACGGATTATGTCAATCATTCTGCTAGTTACTCTCTTCCACCATGATTTCGGATGGCCGTGATTGAAACATCATGTGCACCATATTTTCAGTCACCGAGGGTTACTCCAACGTTCTTATTAGGTTTGTTTCTTGCGACCACTGCCAGGGTATTATTTCCGGCTTCTGTTTGGCCACGTTCAAATTTGTGAAGACGCCCTCGAGCCCGCTTTTGGCCTATAGCGCCTCCTCATTTGTCTCCTATACTTCCCAGTGAATGGCCAAACTCTCTACATGTACAGCTCTGGTGCTTGCAGGGCGGTGACAAACGGACGGTTAGAGGCTCTTCTTGCTGAAGGCGTGGTTAGCGCACTTGCGGCTGCTCACCACCGAATGCGTCAAAACCTCTCATCGTCTCCTGCGACGAGAGAACTCACTAGCTCCACCTGTCAGGTAGCCGTGGGAACACTTGTCATTTTCGTATGTTTCCCCGCTTTTTTTCGCATATCGTTTTTGTTTATTGGCTCAAGAAAACTTTTGAGAATGTTATAAGCGGCCGTTTCTCGTAGGCGGTACGGTTCGTACGTTCAATCTCGCCAACACTGCAAAACCTTTGCTCTAGCGAAATGCAGTTCCAGGGCCACCTCATAGATGATGTTAGCGTGTTCTCTCCTCTTAAGAGCTCACAAGTAGGGCGGGGCAATTGTTCAATTGATATACCGATTTATCGAATAATGCTTTAATTGCGGTTGATCTTTTAAATCGTTAAATGTTGGACGAACCTAATAAAGTAAAAATTCAACGCTTTCTCCACGCAGACGTAGATGAGTACATCTGTGTGAAGGGCAAGCTTTAGGTGAAATTTTAGCCTAAAGTAAACTGTAGGGGCAAGATTTAGGCAATTGTGGAAGGTTACACGTGTCCCGGCCACTTCAATGCCGTTTGAGTGTCCGTCTAGCGCAGCGGGGACTATCGTGAGCAATCAAGGGAAGTGGCTCTTGCCGGAGAAGATCAACAAAGCTCTTTGAATCTTGCAGCTGAAGTAATAATCTGTGAGTGTGAGTGTCTTTCAACTGTTCTCAACAGCACACCGGGGGTGATTCAAAATCAAAATTCTATGTTACGCCGTCTGTCACAAATTCAGCATGGGAGAATTTAAAAAAAGAAAAAAATACCAGGCTTGGAAATGAATGAGGCTCTGATCACAAGGGCCATGAGCAAACTCAGGTGTGGGAAACAGGCCTCAAACCAGGCCTACAAAGAGGATGATGCGTGCTTGCGAGGCGGTGATGGATAGAGACAGAAGCATGTCTATCTGTAATGGTGCTTTGAGAGTGCCATTCAAAAATAGCACAGCCTTGGAAAGGTAAACAGATTGGAACATTATTTGAGTGTGATATGTGGATGTTGGCAGAAGACAGCTGAAGTGCACTATATTCTGGTCTGTATTGCTTGTTGCTAACACTTACAAAAATGAAGGCAGGAAAAAAGGGGTTTATGTGCGTACTGTTTCACAATTTTATCTTGTGTGTGCGTAATGTTAAACCCCTACAGAGGATGACAAGATGTTTTAAGTCTATGGAACAACCCAAAATATTATCCTGGAGTTTTGTGATTCTCGACCGTGCCAACCATTGCGTGGTGTACTGTACGAGACCGTGAAATTGCGTGGTTGTGTCGTAGTGTGATCATCGTAAGCCTCTGCACATTGAGGTTGGAGACATGTCTGTGGTGTCATGTGATGAGGCAACTGTTGTCGGTGTTATGTGGCGAGTATTGCAGTCGGTTGTCTTGTTGCCAAAGCTTGTAATGAAATCCCATTTGCACGTTACTCGAGAAAACTTGAGAGGCGAGACTGCCGTGTCTTGGGTGACCACAAAATTTCCTCGGCACATTCCACAGATGTCCATGATGTGTAAAATCACTACCAAGCACAAACTAACAATGGTGTACCTTGCGTGGAATGTGTTGGAACTTCCTTATCTTCAGGATATCTTGCGTTTTGCTGCTTGCCACAATGTTTTTGGAGTTGAATTATTTGCGACGGAGTTTTATATACACTAATATGCAAGCCTTTTTCTTGCACTCAAGGCTGTGCCATATGGCACCTCATTTCATTGTATATCGCTCTGTCTAGGGGCTTGGTGCCTTTTCGTTGAATGTTGTTGGAACTTTTTGCCACCTTTGACTAGTCAGTTTCCTCGTTCCATTGAGCAAATCAAAATGCCAACTGCACACGTGATGAATGTTTTGTAGTTCTGTTTGACTTCACTAAACACAATTTTTGTCCATATGTGTATAGAACATATAATGTACCGCATGCATTCCAACACCACGAGAATGAACTACTTTCAGTTTGGTGTTCAAATTTGCAACTTGTTTTTTCGGTGTTCAGTGTCAAGTTTTAATTTGAGCTACATGTATTCTATGTGAGGGTATTTCTGAATTTATTTATCCGTGTGGTGTTTGCAAGGGGAAAAAAATGTATTAAGGGTGCGGAAAGATCAGGTAATAAAAGATTGTGATGCCATTAAGCGATATCCTTCCATTCAATTCAAACATTTGAATCGCGCGCTTTATGCACAAAAAAGGGCGGGGTCAGCGTTACTACGGTTGTGACCAAACTTCAGAATAAAGTATGCGCCATTAATAACATCCAAGATGAAACCATTGCATTCCAAGTTCATATGCAAGTTCGTTTAAGTAAATCCTACCTTTTTTTTTATTTTATTTTTAATTCCGTAAATAAACACTACGTTGACCGGCTGACAGTGACCGTGTATGTATCAATGTACGCGAGAAATGCCACAGTAGACACCGTCAACTATCTCATGTAAACGTAGGATAGTTTCTTTTTTATACGTCATACGTGATGAGTAGCACACAGGTGACGAATACGATGAGACGAAACTTACGAAACGAAACCAGGAATAAATCAAAAAGAGAGAACAAAGATGGCGGCACTTCCGTTCCGGTTCGCGCCGGGTTTTTTGCACCAACCAATCGGCACGCACTGCTCTTCTCGAGGAAGCCTGACGTCAGGGGCTGTACCCTTGTATGGGCGCTGTGCTTTCGTGCTTTTCATACCCCAGTTTTTATTTATCTCTTTAGTTTCCTTTGCTCAGGGGAGTCTTTTTTGTCTTATATTATTTTCGGGTTCCCCCGTTAGCGTCGCCCCGTCGCGTACGCCCGTGCCCCGCCAAGAGAGCATCTTCGCGCAGCGACCGAGCAACTTTTCGCGTCGTGATAGTGGTGAGTGCTGTGGTGCTCTGAATGTGTGATAAGCGACGAGGTGACTGTTTCTACCACCACAGTGGACATGAGGGCCGACGTTAGTGGATAAAAGGAACCGACGAACAACTGCTGCGAACGACACCGGACCTACCTTTTCGGCGACTCGCCGCTTTTTTTTTTTTTAATTCCCCCCGGATACCGACAGTCCGGTGAGTATACGGTGCTTGACACCACCTCTATCTCATATCCTGTGATGTCGAATCGGCGCTCGCCTGGCTCGCCGTCGTGAAACCTACACTCGAGGAAGCACGCAGCAAGGTCGCTCGCTCCAGGGAGAGGATGTTGTAGCAGGGTTCAGAGGTCCATTTCGTCGCACATGGACGCCTTTCGGACCCGAACAGTGCTCAAACGACGACCAAACACCTCGACGATCCGCTTGCCTCGTCGCCGAACGCGAAACTGATCCGTGGGCACCCGTTTGGCTTTGTTCGGCTGTCGCAATCGGGAATAATTTGCGGCGGACGGCCTCCGCTGGCCTCCGCCACCCACCAACAAACATCCTACACCACGCTGCGTACGCGTAGCTGGTGGTGGGAGACGTTTTTGGTAAGTGTGCGGGATGGTTTGTGTTGTGTGCCCACCTACACGTTTCATTAGAGTCCGATCGCCTGTCGAGACGACACGCAAGCGTTCGCGGTCTCTCGGGAGTTGGAGAAGCGTGTCATCAGCGATCATGATTCGTGCGTCGAGTTGTCTCGGGCTCGGGGTGCCGAATGACCAAAATGGGTTTGTACCGGGCGGCCACAACTACGATCGCGCAGACGCCGCGGCTTTGGTCGCCGCTGTGATGCGTCGCTACAAGGTGTACGGTACGGAAAGTGATCTACGGGCGGAGGATATGGGCACGCTGTACAGCGGTGAGTAATTCCGAAAAATCGTCGGCTCCATGGAGGAGGGGCGGGGTGAGGATCCTGGTTCCCTTGACACGCTTTTTCTCTCCATGTGCTCAATGATCTTTTCGTAAAATAACCGTCCTGTTGTATCCTTGAGACCGGCAGGGTATTTTCGACTCGAGTGAAACGTCGTAAGTTACGAGTGAATGTAAGCAAACGTTTTACGACGGTACCAGTCAGTGCCGTAGTGAGCTGTGACGTTTTTTTGTTGCCCACGGCAACAAAACGCCCATGTTTCTGTCAAATGTAAAAAGAAAAAAAAAAAAAAGTCGTTTGTGCGTTATTGTTTTAGAAGTTTTTATAAACCACCGTCGAGCGACATTAAATCCGCAAGACTGTACTTCGCAGACCAGCTCCTTTTATTCAGGTCAAGAGACTCTTCCTAAAGACGTGCCAACAAGAAAAAACAGGCGCCACTATCGCTGTAGCAGACGGGCACGTAGCCTGCTGTGGGTAGCGTCTGCAACTGAAACGCGAAACGACAGCTCTCGTACGCGGTCGGCCTTGCGCAAGGTTGGGTCTGCATGCGTGTGTTCGTTTGTGACATCAAGGACAAACCATTTAACAAAACGAGTCGACATTTCCGGCTGAACCTTTGTTTTTTAGGCGAGTTCTACGCACATCTGTTTTGAGAATCGCCCGCCTCAAACTAGGGATGCTTCCACATTCCATGTAGCTGCGTGGGTCATACATCTAGGTTGCTAATGTGGACATAAACAAAAGAAATCAAAGGTAGGAGGCCCCCCGTAGGCGTCGTTCCTCAGTACTCCGTTTGACCTTACGATGGACCGCAGTGGGCGCTACGAAATATCCCAGCCAATCGGGCGTTGCGAATTTATCACGTGACTACGCGCCTTTCGTACGTCGTTACGCTGGGATGACCAGTAAAATCAGCCTCCTCTATGCTATGGCAGGGTTCTCCGCGGTCCATCCTAAAATGGAACGGAGTTTGCCACTCGCCCAATTTGCGTAGTCGTACGCGCCCGTCCCACGTCGATGCACGTAGCAGACGGCGATGTTTCGTAAAGCAGACGACGTTCTGAGTGTGTTATGCCCTTTTCCAATATTTTCTTCTGATAAGCTGCTAACACTTGTTCAGTTGGTTAAAATAAGTGATTTTATAAATTACTAGCGACAGCTGTGCTCCCTTGGAGATTCGAGACCTTTTACGCTAAAAGATTGCAGCGCATCTGCTATAATGTCCATCTGTTTTGGAATATCTGAGGTCACCATCTCAACGCGTAAAATGTCGGGCTCTAATGTTTTTTTTTTTTTTAATTTTTATTTATTTATTTAATTTATCCGGGTTTGGAATTCAGCCGATAACGTCTCTGGCACGCGTGACGTGCTACGTGAGCAATCTTACCGATGACGTCAGAGAATGCTCGGGATGCTGAGTGTATTTTTGTTTTGTTTAGTTTTTCTCTAATGGGGTGAGCTATATGTGGGAGCTATGAAAACAAACTTACCAGATGAACTGCAATAACAAAATAGCCTCTTCAAACGTTAAAAAAAAAAATAAAAAAAAATCAAGCTACATGGGTTATTGAACAGTAGTGAGCTGATTCGGTCATTACATTGAGCAGTCTTTTTTTTTTTTTTCCTCATACTACAATGTTAGGGCTTAATTGTAATGACATCTGGTTCCGCAAAATTTGTTTGTTGACAGTCATGTTATTTTATCATAATTGGTTTATTGATGACTGAGTTTTTTATTTCTCTTTCTTTAATAGAGTTCAAAGTTAATTGCTTTATAGCTTTAAATGCATATTCCACTTGTCAGTTTATTATCATTAGTATATTGATGACTATGAGTTTTAATGTTTCTTACATTTCTTTTATAGATATTAAGTTTATAGCTTTAAATTTATTCCACTAATACAGCTTATTATCATTGTTATATTGATGGCTATGAGTTTTACTGTTATTTACATTTCTTCTATACAGCATTGATTTTATTGCCTTCTAGCTTCAGATATGTATTCCACATCTCAGTGACTAAGGGCATTCAGAGTTTCTGTATTCATCAAAGCACAAGAAAAAGTGAACAATTGGGATTCTGTTGCTTTCCAAATTGCTAGTGGTTTGGGGTTTCTATTGCACAAACTTTTCATGGATGAGCATATTCCTTGGAGTGAAGTGCCTGCGCTTGCTTGTGCCGTGTTCACATGCTCCTCATATCAAAAGCCTCAGAATAGGCAATCTCTGAAAAAGATTGATTGCAAGGAATACCTAATACAGCATGACTTAAAGCATGGGAGAAACTTCAAAAGTAATTATGTTAATTTTTTTGTGTATCAAGTGTCATTGCCTTACTAAGGTTTCAACATTGTTTTCGTGATTGGGTGTCAGTTTAACTTGCTATTGTTGATTTCTACTATAACTAAACTGTACCTAAATTTTTTGCTTTAAGCTCTCTAGTAGGGTTCTTCATTTTTGGGTAAAACCCGATATTACCAGATTTTTCCACCCAGAAGAGTTTTTATGAAAATCGGGTAAAACCCGATTTCTTCCTGAATACAGGTCTCGAAATCAGCTGAATTTATGGAAAATGAGAACGATTCTGGATCTGTTTCAGAACTGCTTCCTGGTTCACTCGTTTGATGGTAACAAAGTTCTTCGATTTGCATTACCTCTACATATATTTGCTTCATAATTTTTAACATAGTTTTTTAAGCTGTTGCGAAGCAAGAATGAGTCACAAGGCGGAAATATACAGTAAGATTGAGCACCATTGCTATATCACTTACTTTTTTGACTTTTCTTAGTGTAAATAACACATTTAAAGTAACTGATGACTGAGTTAAATAGACCCGAGAAAACCCGATTTTCTAATGGCTTCAGAAAGACCCAATTTCTCCCCGATTATCAGCCTGAAGAATAGCGCCCAGTTTTTACCCCCCCGATTTTTTTATAATATAAAACTCGAAAACGAAGAATTTTACTCGGTAGATAAATAATGAGCTGCATCTTGGGTAATTTATGTCTAAGCTATTTTCCTTTATCACAGTAGTCATTTATTTATATTAAGTAACTATTTTCAAAACATTCTGTTAGTAGGACATATGGTAGACCCTTGGAAATTCTTACCATTGTAAGTTGGAAGAAAACTTGTCAGCGAGAAATAAGCATAGTGACCTATGAGTAAAGGCCTAGTTAGGATGTTGTATTTTCCTGTAACATTTACATAAGAAGGCTTTTAAAAAATTCTTCAACATAGATGTGAATGAAATAAAAAAGTAGATTTAAGAAAGTACAAAAAACAAGCAGAGATACAGTTGTAGATAAAAGAAGCTGGAGCACAACACACATCATTGCTCACGTGAGCTCATCTGAAAGGCGTTGTCTAAAACATTGGACATATAAAGGTTCCTCATATCGTATCGCCCAATAGGTGATGCAACAGGCGATATAAATTAAAAGGCTGACTAGCTGGTACAAGTTGCCTTCCGATTCTTGGTGTTTAGCCAATCTATGCCTCCATCCATTTAGTTATCCTCGTTTTTACCAATGCTCACACCCTGGAGGGTCTGACCGAGGAAGTTACACCATGATTTTTAGCCCTTATAAATAAACTATGCACTGCAAGAAGCTGAAACTCCCATTAGAATGTGGCACAAGCGTAGGGGACATGTCACAAGCATAGGAGACATACTTGTCAAAGTAAAGAATGTGGCACAAGCATAGGGGACATGCTTGTCAGAGTAAAGAAGAAAGCAAAATTGTCTCTCTTTTTTTGGTTACAAGTTTGTTTCACTCAAATAAATGTAACACGCATCCAAAGTGCCACTTCTCGGTTTGGTGAACATTAGGCTCAGCTAGGTGGGTGTCAGTTCATAAAGAAATGAAATTTTTCCTAGTATATTTTTTTGATCCAGGTAACATCATGTTAGTGTCACAGACATCTAAAGTGTCATTTATTGGTTCGGCAAATATTAGGCTTACCTAGGTGGACGTCAGTTCATAAAGAAATTAGTTTTTCCTGTTATATTTTTTGATCCAGCTAACATCCTGTTCCAAAGGTTTGCCATTCTGTCAACAGCCCTAGCGTCACATTCACACAAAGTTCCAGCTTTCTGCAGTGCATAGTTTATTTATGCAAGCTTCGAAACCCGTGCTTGATTATCTTTCATGGTTAATTAGTAGTTTCTCGTCCCCACATTATTAGACATAACACCCAATGGCTATGCTGCAAAAAACAAGCAAGCAGAAATAAAAAAAATATTCGATGGAAAAAATTTAGACATTGCCATCAC